TGGAGCCTTCCCAACACATTTCTTTGTATGATTTGCCCTCCATGTTGAGTGTGGCAAAACTGCCTCACAGTGCTAGGAGCTGTAGGGAATGCTGCAAGTATGATTTACAGATTCTTAAACATACCTCTCCCTGACACGTCATTACTGCTGGACACCAGAGTCAAGTTCAGCAACTCGAGGACCTTTCCACCCCCTACCTTACTCCATATGGTCATTTTCATCTTATCAAAGTAGGACTAGGGTGATGTTTATCTAAAATGGACATTGCTGGCTTCCTAAAAATGCCTGAAAAAGGAGTGATGATGTGATAGTTTAAAAGGACCTATGAGATTCCTACAGAAAATACAGAGATAAAGAAATATGTGTTCATGCCATTCCACTTTAGATGGCTTATTCTGGAGAAGAGTAATAGAGAGTTACACTATTTGTTTAAACATATATCATAAGATGCTTTTATTAACTTAAAAGACATGAAATGTTTCACAAATGCTCAAGCACACCTTCAAAGGTTACCTGAAGTTGCTTCTCAAGGTATCTCTATTTACAAATAAATATAAATGAATAAATTATGTATATTTTATACTTAGATTTTATTTATGCTTTAGAAATATTTTGATCATTCACAAGAATGTGCTATTCTTACATGAAGATTTTGTTTATGAGCCACCTTTACACTCCAGCTGCTTTGGACTGTTCTGAGAAGCACCTAGAGACCTGTGGTTTTAGATTAAATTTGAAGTTTGAGGTTAGGGGAAGAACTGTAACTGGCGTGGTAAATGTGGACTTCAATACTTCAAAAACACAGAGGAATCCAGCCCCGTCACTGCCACACTTTTGAGACTAAGAGCATGCCTCAGGGACTAGGGAAATATGAGACTCTCCTTCCCCTCCCCTCCATATGCCAGATATTGATCCCTGCCCCACCTTCTTACATTTGGAACAGTTACCCAGCAAGAAGGGAGAAAAAACACACAAACCCATTTCTTATAAAGCAGCAATTAAGCTAAGAAAGCACCCCCTAGTCAATATTTAATGTCATAAATACGCTGACGAAAGCACCCCACAGTCCTCCCTCAGTCTTGTTTTCTTTTAAGAATTCAAACCCCGCTGTGTGTTTGGCCAAAGGCTGGCACATAATAAGTACTTACTGTTTTTGTTTTTCAATTTCTACAGAAGACTGAACACCCAAGTCATGGACATCTTTCAAAGAAATGTGTCGTAGGTCCCATGATGGCACAATTGGGCATAAACACCTTTCTTTGGTATTTTGGAAACTGGATAGAACACTTTATTATGGACTATGAGATTTTCAAGGTAAAGGCAATCAGAAGATGATGCAAACAGAAAACAGGCACAGAACATATCCTGTACACAAATGCAAGGTTCTTGAGTAAACAGAGGCAGAAAAAAAGAGCTACAGCATCAGTGTCCTGATCATTGTTTTCTGATGCTATTTTTACAAGATTTTATGAAGTATTTTGCTTCTTCACAAAGAAAGAAATCCAACTTGTATTAAAACTACATTGAGAACACTATTTCAGTCAATTTTGCATGTTTTAAGTTCATAATGTATATTGTTGTTCTTAAGTACCATCAAGTTGGTTCCAATTCATAGTAACTCTGTACAGGGTTTCTGACAGTGGGTGGTGGGTTTGAACTGCCAACCTTACAATTCAAACTGACCTTGTGGTCCACTGCTTATTCTATAGCATCATACCCAGGACTCCGTATGTTTATTATTTTTGTTCTTAAGTGCAGTTGAATTGGTTATGACCCAGAGTGACCCTGTATAGGGTTTCCAAGGAGTGGCTGATGAGTTTGAACAGCTGACCTTGCGGCTCAAACCAACCTTGCACTCTAATGCTTTTCCCACATGTATATTAGTACAATCCAATGACTTGTTCAAACAGCATATAAGAAACATTTTTACAAAGTGAAAACTAGGAAGTCTGTGCTTATGGGAATCTTTCTCAAAGTACTAGTTATTCAACAGTAAAAACCACCAGAGAATCAAGTGCTTTTCAGACAGAGACATGCTCCCCAGACATGGAGAAAGGCAATACTGCTACTAACGGTTAAATGCTGCATCGTAATCTGTATTCTACAAATCACTTTCATTCGTTCCTCACAAGACACTTTGAGGTCTGAAATTTATGTGTCCTCTTTTTACAAACCACAAGTCTGAGACTTAGAAAAATCACTAATGGCTCAAGGTTGCTCAGCTAGTTAGTGAAGATGACAGGAGCAGAGACGAGTAAGATACAGCGCTCGAGAGGCTAGAATATCTTCCTTCCACAAAAACAGCGAAGGTGGGTAGGTAATAAATGTATCTTGCCTGATTCAACAATGTAAAACTCATGATGCTTTATGTACCACCCAAAAGTGACCAAATTATGTCCCCTCACAAGAGGAACTATGCTGACTATGGCAGCCTTAAGGAAAAAACCATCATCTTCTCAATCTTCTCCAAGGTTGGATTCTTTTGAACAATCTGAATTGCCTCAAGCCTCTTAACAACTCAGTGAACGTGTGATGGAAGTTACCAATGGACAGTTGCCTAAAACAGGAACACTAAACTGAGTGTGGAGCTGTTGGTTAATGCAGTGTACTGCAAGGTCTATATGAAACACAAGGTCAGTGGTTCAAGCCCACCAGCTGCACCTTGGGAACCCTATGCAGGGTAACTATGAGTCAGAACGGACTAGACAGCACTTAACAACAATAACAAGCGGAGTGTGACACCGTAGGGCCAGCACTGGACAAACACCAGCCACTCCTCAGAAACCCTACACAGGGTCACTATGAGTCAGAACCAACTCAATGGCACTAAGCAAGCTGGGTTTGATTGAGAAAATCAACTTGAAGATACAAAAAAAGTTAGACATGAGAAATAAACCTTATGTCTAGAGCCATTGCTAAGATAGAATTAGCAAAGATACAATTTATTTTCTTTTAACTTTTTTCTTATTGTGATTCTGGTGAGTTTACAGAGCAAATAAGTTTTCCAGTAAACAGTTTTCACATTTTGTTTCATGACATGGAGTGTAATCCCCACACTGAACAGCTCTTTTCCCCACTTCCTTCCTGTGTTGACCCTTTCCATTTGTTCTCCTTTCCATGTCCTTCCAACCTTCTTAGCTTTGTCCCTGGGTAAACGCTGCCCTTTTGATCCTGTTTGGTCCACTATTATAAGGGGTGTATACCTTCCTAATGTTAGTGTCCCATTTATCAATCAGCCCATTGTTTGGTTGTGAGCCGTGGGGGTGAGTCCGGTTCCAGGTATGCAGGTATAAGGCAGAAGTCTTGGGGGCTCCACTAGCCTCTATCAGTCCAGTTCCACATTTTTCTCCCACTCTATCCACGACCTTCTGTTATGTTCCCTATCAGCAGTACTGGAAGCCGGGCACCATCTAGTTCTTCTTGTCTCAGGGTCTGTGGTGGCTGAGGTTCAGCACCTGAGCTTCTATTATTTTCAAGTTGAAATAGCATTGCTCATCAGTCTACAGTGCTGAAACAAACAAGTGTTGCTGACTAACTCAAAAACAGCTTGGCCAATCAGGAAGCCCTTCCCAGCTTGGGCCCTGCTGCACTTGTTTGGCACGACGGGCGGTGACAGTGACACATGACAGGAGTACTGATGTCATCAGATGGACAGCAGTGGCATGTTGTCTCCAGGTGCCGGCGGCTGAGGACTCTGCTGGGAATGTAAACGTGACTGTGTGTCATCAAGCTTGGGGTTGGCAGCTAGGAGCGTGGCCTGGAAATGAGGTCGTGTTCTCCTAGGAGCGCCTTCCTCCTCTGAATGAGGAAGTCTGTTCTAGACAGTGCCTCTGCCTTCCATGGCTAGCTCCAGCTGAAGCAGGAAGCGCTGACAGCACCCCCAGATGCTGACATTTCCTCACGGCCTTTGCTTTGGGCAGTCTCAGCGGCCATCAGGACAAACCTCCTTCGGCTACTTTTAATGTTTACGTTTTAAAACCTTTTTAAGTTCAGCGAAGGCTGACAGAGCAGCTGACCAGTGAAGGAACCTCTTTCCAGGCAGGAGACCCTCACCATGTTTGTGGAGAGAATAGACGTTAAAGTACATCCTCCAGGCGGATGAACCTGGAGGGCTTTCTGCTGAGTGACATGAGTCATAAAAGGTCAGATGGCGTCCCAGAGGGGCGCTGGGAGGTCAGCACTGGACTGCTAAATGAGTCGGAATCGGCTTCGTGGCACTACAGAAGACCACCATGGTAAAAAGTCCAAAGACACAGGTTTTCACAGTCATACGCATTCTGTCACTTCAGCGGGCGGGAGGGCACAGTCGTACGTGTCATGACTTGGGTCAAGGGGAGGGGGACAAAGAATTCCCTCTCTTCATCTAAACAATTCTAATCTTATTTAGGATATCTTTATAAAGCTGTCCAAGCAACACAGCACTAACCCGTGTTCAAACACACCACACCACACCACACCACCGGGGTCACTTCCGGGAACGGCTCTGGAAGGCACTGCGCTGTCGTGCCCCGGAGCGCTTTCTCCTCAGAAGGTTTCTCAAACACTACCAAAGCGGGCGTCGCAGGCAGGGCGAGGGCGCGGCGCGGAGGCCGTCTCGGAGCGTCAACAAGTAGCCGGCCCGCCTCTCTCCCGTAGGCCCGGGAGTAGACCCAGCCAGAGCCCGCAGCGAACAACCACCGCCTCACAACACCCAGCTTTGCACCACTGTGCCCTCGAAGGGAGCGCGGCGCAGGCGCAGACCTGCCCACCGCCCACCGCGCACGCGCCCTGCCGCTCGGCTCCCTAGGCCCTGACCTCGCCGCTACGTGCGGCCGCCGACTTCCGCCACGCTCACCATGGCGGAGGCCGGAGCTGCCCGCTGGCCCCGCCCCCCATGACGCGCTCCCGGTCACCTGACCCGGCTGCGGGCTGAGGAGACACAAGGGAAGTCGCTGTCGCTCTAGTCGGATCCTCTGCTTGACGCCGCCGTCACCTCAGCCTAGCTGCCGCCGTCCCTCGCTATGCCGTCGGAGAAGACCTTCAAGCAGCGCCGCACCTTCGGTGGGTGTGGCGGGGGGCGATTTGGGAATCCGGCCGGCGGAGGCCCTCGGGCCAAGCAGCTGGAAGGGTGCTGGAGGCCGGGGCGGCGGCCTGCCCGAGGCGTGAGGCCGGTGGGTCCGTGGGGACTGAGGGGCCGGGCTCGGCCTGACCTTCCGTTGTGTAAGCAGCCGGAGATCCGGCGCTGGAGCCCTGGGAGCCGGGGCCAAAGCGGCCCCGCGGGCCGCCGCCGAGAGGCCTCTGCGCCTCACGGGTGGGGGTCCACTGGCTGCACCCCCGCCCTGCTCTCCTGTGATTGGGGACCGTCGCCCCCCAAGTGCAGACTCGCTTCGTGACGCCCCGCTTCCAGGAGCCGCAGACGGGATCACGGGGTTCAGATCCCGGCATGCCGAGCTCCGCTCCGGACTCGCCTGTGTTTTGGGGGGGATTGCCCAGGCGGCGGGTGAATCACCGCGGGGCTCAGTGTTGCACAGTTCCAAAACAATCCTTCCCGATCGCACGTGGTCACTGACAAAGTCAATACCGGGAAGTGGGGCGGAGTGGCCTCGGACTGCCTCGGGGCTTTGGCGGCTCCGTGCTGGGAGATCGGACGCCGCCCGGGGGCAGTTGGTGTTCCCAGGGTCAGGATCCTTACTGCTTCACAGCAGAGTCTGCGTGTCTCGGACGTTGGCTTACAGTCCTGTGCTTACCTTCCCCCGCGTAATCAGCCCGTGGGCTTGCCTTTTAGATGAGAAACTCAGCTTATGTTTATTTAGTGGCATTTGGTTGAAAATGAAACTAAGGCCATCTGCATCCTCTGAAATCCTCCAGCACACCGTGCCCTTCTGAGAAGGGTCACAGTACGGAGTGCGGCCGCTCTGGCCATCAGTCCCGAGGACTTGTTGCTGACAGTTGTCAGAGTTGCAGGGCTGGTAGTGAAGTGCTTTGGGGTTCCTCCTGGACACAGTCATTAGCCTCTGGGTGATGCTCTTTGTTTATTCTCGCAGTCCTTGGGTGGGGGGAAGAACGTGGCATTCATTTGTGCCAGGACTGGTATGAAGATACCTTTATTGTTGACAACTATTTGCTATCTTGTGCCTGAGAAAGTTGCCATAATTGAAAATTTATTCTGGCCTGCTAAACTTAGCTTTTTAAGCAACAGACATGCTGTATGTCGTTAGAAATTTTTTCTTTGGTGACCGTAATGTTTAGATTTTATGGACTCTGCAGAAGCAGCATTTCAGGATGCTTTGCTCTTGTCTCTGGCTTCTGTCCCTCCTCAGTTGGCTTTTCCATCCCCAGGCTTCTTGGTTGTGACTTAAGAAACAAACAAACCACAGCTGAAGAATGCATTCGGCCTCATAGCGACCCTACGAGACAGAGCAGAGCTACCCCCAGAGGGTTCCCTGGGCTGCCAGAGCAGACTGCCACATCTTTGTCCCTTGGAGCAGGTGGTGGATTGAAACTGTTGATGTTTGGGGTAGCATGGCTGAGCACTTAGCTGCAGCACCACTAGGGCTTGCTGATGGTGTGAGAGAAAGCCACCCAGTTGATAGCAGAAGAATCAACAGATGAACTTACGTAGGAAGGTGTCTCGATGGCACTAGCCTCTCAGATCTCTCTCCTGTCTTTCTGTCAGCAGCCTCAAACGCAGGTAGCCTCGCTACCCAGGACGGTAGTGCAGATGCGGCCTTGACAACTAACAATGTCCGAGGTTGCCACAGTAGTTGCTGCTTAGCTCTCCTTTAGATAGGATGCTAAATCTGTGTGGAGTCCAGCTGAGACTTTGTAACCTCTTGGTGTTTGAAGCAGACACAATGTAGGCTTCCTTTTAGGAAAAACCTCATCACTGCCTCTGGCATTGGGGTGGGGATGCCCTTTGCCTCTTGGTTGATCTTTCACCATTACCTAGGGTATTCCTAGGTCATCTCTAAGGAGAAGTAGGTGCGGAGAGCAGGAAAAGATGACACAGTAGAACAAGGAATTGGCCTGGAACCTAAAAGTGGCCTTGGAGGTGAACCAGCAGGAACGCCTTTCCATGTCCCCCCTTCCTGCTGTGCTGTGTAGGGTGCCCCCTCCTGGCTCATCTTTCGTCTCTTTGTGAAGACCTCAGTAGCCATCTTGCAGCAGAGAGAGCAGATGTCATTTAATGGCTTGTGCCTTTCCTCACTCATTGTGGTAAATCTTGACTATCCGCTCCGACCATGGGGAGAGATTTACAGCCCAGCACATGGGGGAGATCAATATCTGGGCCTCTTGATGCAGCCCAGGACTGGCCTGAGTTAGCATGAACATGGCTCTCTTTCCAAGAGAGTGAGTATGAAGTTGAAAGCCAGAAGATAACCGTAACTATCTTCTTTTCTGGGATTGAAAACACTGAAATGGATGTAGAGGTCACCCTAAACACCCCTGTCCTTTTGCAACTGAAGAGACTGGGTGGGGCCCAGAGAGGTGAAGGTCAGGGTCCACCTAGTGGCAGCGTCTGGACTGGCCCCTTTAACGTGACTGAAAGCCAAGGATGACCAAGATGGCATGCATTCGTCCAGCCTCAAGCAGCTGTATGCAGTGAACCAGGATTGAGAGTCAAGAGGGACTAGAGTATCCTTGCAAATGTTTTTAAAACCCTGTGTTGTTGTTGTTAAGTGCGGTCAAGTCAGTTCCGACCCATAACGACCCTGTATAGGGTTTCCAAGGAGCGGCTGGTGAGTTTGAACCGCTGACCTTACAGTTCAAATGACTTTGCAGTTTGACACATTAGCCCATAGCGCTGGACTATAGAAATCACGTGTGTACACGTTATGTGGGATTGGGTAATCTAAATGTTAAAACTTTACACGCATTGCCTTTTGGGATGCCCTGGTTTGTATTCTAGCAGAGCCTTTTCCCAGACACCGTTATACTAGAATTCACTTGCAGTTCTTCAACCTAAGCCTTGAGCTACTTCATTAGTAACCAGAGTGCCTGCGTGCTTCTGGGAAGGTCTGCGTCTTTCCAACAATCAGGTAGCCTGAAGAGGAGAGATGGGCTATCACTCACTGATGGATGAGGGTTCGGGTTTACAGGCTGACAGTGGGGGAAAGTCTTTATTATAATAACATCCATTTCACTCCGTGCAGTAAGTCTTTGGAAATGTGGGAATGTAAAAATTTAAATACCCTATGGACTCTCAGTAACTTTGCGAGTGATGTATGTTGCTTAAATAGGAAAGCTGAGCTGCCTCTCCTCTGTTTGAGGCTCATAAAGGGCCGAGGAAGCTGTCTTTGCAGAGCAGTGTTCTTTTCTGTTGTCAGCATTCATACATTTATCAGCCGTCTCTGCCAGGCCCTGGGAACACAAACATTCAAGCATGCAACTGTGAACTGAAAGCGCCCTACCAAGCATGTTACCTTCCAGGGACTCGTTCCTTCTGATGACAGGTCCAAAGTACATGAGAGAAAGTTTTGACATTCTTGCTTCTAATGAACATTCGGGCTGTACTTCTTCCAAAACAGATTTGTTCATTCTTCTGGCAGTCTTTGTGGACACCCAAATTCATATGCCTCAGTTCTTGCATCTTCCTTTATTGTCTAGCTTTTACATTCAAATGGACATTTCTTTGAAAACGATGCAGTGTGAATTGAGTAAAGGTTTACCAGAGCAAACCAGCATTTTCTAGGTAACAGACCCAGTACTCCATGTTGGTGGTTACAGTCTGTCTCCTCAATGTAGCCTCACTTCTCCCACTTTCTACCTGGGATTCTTGGTTCCATTCCCCCTTCTTTCCCAACCCTTCTGAATGGTTGACCATTCTGTGGGTGCGTACCTCACTGGTACCGTTGTCCCCCCATGTACCTGTCTACTTGTTGTTGTTAAATGCTGTTGAGTTGATTTCAACTCAAAGCAGCCCTGAATAAGGGTTTCCGAGGAGCAACTGGTAAGTTTGAACTGCTGACCTTGTGATTCAGACAGACCTTGCAGTCCTGTGCTTATCTTCTAGTGCCACACCAGGACTCCAAACTCAATCTACTGCTTGGCTGGAAATTGAGCCACAGACCTGAAGTGTGACCAGCAGTCTCTAGCTGATCAGTAAGTCTGGTCTTCAAACTTCAAACGGACATTTTTGCTCTCACCCTTTAAAGAGGCTTTTGTGACAGATCTGCCCAGTGTAACGTCTCGTTTGTGTTCCTGACTGCTGCTTCCATGGGCCTTGATTGCAGATCCAAGTAAAATGAAATCCTTGACAACGTCAGTATTTACTGTGTTTATCGTGATGGTGCTGTTGCTGCACTCGTGAGGAATTTTGTCTGCTGTTGAGGTGTAAGCCATACAGAGGGCTACTGGCCTCTGTGGTCTTAAGTGCTTCAAGTCCTCTTCACTTTCAACTAGCAAGGTTGTGTCCTTTGTATACTGCAGGCTCCTGATGACTCTGCCTCCAGTCCTGCTGCCTCGTTCTTCGTATAGTCCAGCCACTTGAATGGCTTGCTCAGCATACAAACTGAATACGTATGTGAAAAGATACAGCCCTGTGACACACCCCTTTCCTGAATTTAAACCCTGAGTATCCCCTTGTTCAGTTTGAACGACTGATTCTTGGGCTACATATAGATTCTGCATGTCATAGAAGTCAGTTAAAAACCAAAACCATTGGAGAAATAGAAGCATCAGTCTGGCTGTATTTGAAAACTGGAATTATTTCAATACTATTTTTTATAGAATGGTACTAAAATGTTTGTTTCTTTTTAAAACCAAATGAAATTGGTAATTATATTAATATAAATTCACACTCATAAAAGTCAAAGCTTTTTTTTTTTTGAGATACAATACAAGAACCTTCTCAGGAAACTGATGACTTTCATCATTTACCCTGAGAAGTGTATCCTAACATGGTAAATAAGAGACCTGGTGTGGTGCTATAGAATAAATACTATACTGCTAACCACAAGGTTGGCAGTTCAAACCCACCAGTCGCTCCTTGGAAGGTTTTAGATAGGAAAGCTGTCTAAATCATGTATCTGAGTGTTACCTTGTATCTGACGTGCCTCTTCAACTTTTAAAGTCAATTTGAACCACAAGGTTGGTGGTTCAAGCTCACCAGCTACTCCTCAGAAACCCTATGTAGGATCACTGTGGGTTGGAATCGACTCGATGGCACTTCACAACAATATGGTGTGGCACTGTGGGCTAATGTGCTGTACTACAAGGTTGGTTTGAACCGCAAGGTTGGCGGTTCATTCTCACCAGCCGCTCCTTGAAAACCCTATACAGGGTCGCTGTGGGTTGGCACTTAACAACTACATATGGTGTGGTGCTTAGGGCTAATGTGCTAGACGGCAAGGTTGATTTGAACCGCAAGTTTGTCAGTTCAAGCTCACCAGCTACTCCTTGGAATCCCTATACAGGGATGTTATGAATTGGAACCAAATCTGCGGCACTTAACAACAACAACAACAACATAGTTCTCACGGACTCCTGATGGGGTACTATAGGATCAGCAGTGGACTGCAGCCACAAGGTCAGCAGTTCAAACCCACCAGCTGCTCCTTGGAAACCCTATACAGGGTCTCTATGAGTCGAAACCAACTCAACAGCACTTAACAACATATTCCCCATGGCATCCTAATGTGGTGTTACAGGAGAAACACTGCACTGCAAACCACCAGGTCAGCAGTTCAAATCCACCAGCTGCTCCTTAGAGAACCCCTATCCAAGATCACTGTGAGTTGGATCCACTCGATAGCACACGGCAGTACCGTATTCCCACGAGCCTAGGAGATGTGTTGGCAATGTAAGTGGGTGATTAAGAGGGAGAGCCATCACAGGTGGTCTCAGAAACGTGCTCAGCTTCAGACCCTGTGCTGTTGACTTGGCTTTTAGGTGCCGAATGAAACCATGTGACAAACATGACCATCTTTCCTTCCATAGTCCTTTTTCTTCTGGGACAGTTTCTGTGTTCCCTCTGTCATGAAGAAACTGGAAGAATTAACAGAAAATGCCTTTGAATAGCCTATGGGTTCTATACCACAGTATGGGAAATTCACCCAAACGGACAAGAATCACATGGGTTGTACAGGTCCTGGGAGGAATGGTTGGGAGGCTGTGGTCCCCCCGCACCCCTTCCCCCCGGTTCCTTTACTGAGCACATCTGTGACTACTCACCCAGGGGCCCAGCCCCTGAACTAGGAGCTCTGATATTCCTGACCTGTGTTAGGCCACCAGAGTACCATGTGATCACGGTTTCCATATCCTGTGTGTTGGAGACATGAAGTGTCAGTCTCTGGATTCTGGGGGACGATGTGTACCACTCAGCTGGGTCCCAGCTGCTGATGCCTGAACTCAGCCAGGGGCCTGTCCAGTGGGAATGCAGGAAGCAGGTGTCTGTCTCATCTCATACCTTTCTCTCTTCCTGTCTTTGCAGAACAAAGGGTGGAAGATGTCCGACTCATCCGAGAGCAGCATCCTACCAAAATCCCGGTAGGCAGCCTCTGCTCCCTTCCCACCGCAGGAGACGGCTGATCTAGAAGCCACTGTAGGCAGGGGTTCCTCATGAGCCCGGGGACGCAGGACCTCGCCTTACAGTGTCCCCTTTGAAAGTAACGTTTGACAAGATCATTGTCCCTTCCCTCCTAACCACTCTCCTCCATTCATCCGAGTTTGGCTTCCTTAGTACTGCACACGTCACAGATGTGATGCTGCATTTGGGAGGAAAGGGTTGGAGACAAGGACCGTTAGCACTTTGAGAGTGGACCTGTTTGGTTCAGGAAACCTAGTCCTGCGTGACGAGCAGCAGTGCCCACAATGGGAACCTCGTTGCAGGTCCAGGCCACCTGACTTGGAATCGAGTGGTGCCCCACACAAGTCTTGAGGGTTTGGCTTTTCTATAAAGCAGTTGGGGACTCCTGCCTTGTCACATGCAGCGGTAGCAGAGGTTTTGTGCTGAGCTACACCAGGCCTAAAAAGCAGTTCAGGGACCCTCCCGTTGCTCTCAAGTCCTAGGTTCAAGGTCATTGAGCGGCCTTGGGCTGCAGTTCAGTTTCCTCCTCCTACTCGTGAGGGTGTCAGAGTGTTGTTTCACTCTTGGTATCACCTACGGCAGCTGGTATCACCTGCTACTAACCCCACAGGCCACTTAGACAGGAAGCCTATCACTAGGTTCTGGGGAAGGTCCAGAGGAAGCAGGGAGGATGTCTAAGTTGATTAGCTTTTGACTGGAGTCCTTGAAGGAGCACAGAAAGGGGTGAGGGGTTGGTCTGACTGGCATTTCCAGGACTGTGTGAAGCTGCAGTAAACTGTCCGTTTTTCCCTGGCCGGTGGGAAGTGTCACAGCCGGGCTTTGCACTTGGAGGGCTCTGCATCTCCAGGGGCTGTGCCTCACAGACCTACCTGTCCACAGACCTGGCCTCCTTTGACCCTTGTAAGCAGCAAGCCAGTTGCACCTTAAAATACGCACAGGCACTGTGCAAGGCTCGAAGCAATGGGGGACAGCTTCTTGGGGGTTTGCTTCTCCCTGGCCTGACCTCCCCTAATGAGCAGCTGTGTGCTGCTCAAAGCAGGCCCTTGTGAGCCAGAGAGTGTCATCAGCCTTCCAGAGGAACGCTGCTCCGTCTGTGCCGCCGAGCAGTTGTTCATGTTGTGGAGCACTCGTATTGTAAGCCCACACTGGTCGCTAGAAACCAAATAGCTCAGAGGTGACCAGACCACTCTTCACAAGAGCTATGAGGAAATAAGTCTGATCCATCATCAGAGGAGACATTGTAACTGGTTCTCATTGTGTTTTTGTTTGTCACTGTGAATGGGGTGAAGGCTTGTTCTCATTGTTAATGACTTAAAATCCATAGAAGTCTTGTAACTTTTCTGGCTTCTTTCCTAGGTGATAATAGAAAGATACAAGGGTGAGAAGCAGCTTCCCGTGCTGGATAAAACCAAGTTCCTTGTCCCAGATCACGTCAACATGAGTGAGCTCATCAAAATCATTCGGTATGTCATCACGAGCTGTAAGTTTCCTTCGGGTAACTTCTCATTCATTCTTCATCAGACTTGCAGAGTTTATCACTGCTCTGGCTAAAACCTACGCAAGGTCAATAAAACAAGAGAACCGTATGTTGCTTTATTTTTGAGGTTTATACGAGGGGAGTTCAAAAGTTCATAGAAAAACTGAAATGAAAAATAAAACTTTTTGCACCATCAAAGTCAAGACACTTTTGTAAGGGATGCCGGCAGCCATTTGGTCCAGCCCTAAAGACTTGAAGGTCCTGGGAACTTAACTTTTGAAATTAAATCGAGTGAAGATTTACAGAGCAAATCATCCCGTTTGACATTCAAGCAATCATATATTTGGTTCATTACGATGCTGGCAATCCCCACCACTTAGCACCAGTGAGCCGTAGTTACCTCTCTTCACTTTAGTGTCTGGGGGTCCTCTTTCCTCGTTAACCTCCCTCTTGTATAGTGCCTGCCCTGTCACCCATGTTCACATGGTGTCTCCCTGAGAGCCTGTGAATAATTTTCCGTCTCCAAAACAGATAGTTTCTTTTATCCAGAAAAACGTAACTGTACAATATTGGTCTCATAAAACCTTTGCTCTTTCACGACTAATTTCACTCAGCATAATGTCCTTCAGGTCCATCTGCATTGTGAGGCGGTTCGCAGATTCCTCAATTCTGCATCATTGCAGTGTTCCATTTTTTAACCAGTTTTCTCCTGGTGGGTATTTTGACTGTCTCCATCTTTTTGATGTATCTCTTAGAGACTGCATATTGAAGGATCCTGTTTTCTTATCCATTCTGCCACTCTTAAACAGTGGTGCGTTTAATCCATTGACATTCAGCATAATCATCAAGTTAGGAACTGATGGCTGCCATTTGGCTGTGTTGCTGATGGTCTCTTTGTTCCATATCTTTTCTGCGCTGAGTGGCTTTTCATTTTCATTTCCATTATGCTAATGTTTCAGATTTTTCTTTTTTTTTTTTTTTTAATTTTGATTCATTTGCCTTGAGAGTTACCCTGTAATTCATTAATATTTTGCCCTGTTTTAAACCAGCTGGTTGTATCTTGAAATCTACTTGACTTCCTTGGTTTTTGGAAGTTCTGTGTATACACTATTCCCTCTTTTTGCTTTGTAGTTGACTTCATTATAAATGGGTATCTCTGGTTCCCCATGTTGTCTTGTAGGTTTGTTTTACTTGAAATACTTCTCTATCTGGGTTGATTTCTGGCTGGTGTGGTCCATGTATGGGAATCTCGGGGTGTCAGCTGTTGTTGGTTCTTAGTCCAAAGAGCACCCTTTAGCATTTCTGTAAAGTTGACCTGGTCATTACAAATTACTTTTAATTTCGCCGTTGTATTTGAGACAGCTTTGATGGGTATATGATTCTTGGTTGGTAATTTTTTTTCTTACAGAATTTTGTCACTCTTTTCCCATTGCCTTCTTGGTTGGATGGTTTCTGTTGAAAATTCAGAGCTTAGTCTTACTGAATTGATTGTCCTTTGTAGGTGACCTTTCCTTTTTCCTGAGCTGCTCTCCGGAGTCTTTCCTTGTCTTTGGGTTTAGAAAGCTTGATTATGATATGACTTGGTGATTTTATTTTGGGGTCTTTCCTGTTGGGGTTCATTCTACTTCTTGAATGCATCTTCCATGTTACAGAAGTTTTTCTTCCAGCAACCCTGTATCAGTTTTCTCTTTGTGTTTTGTTGTCTCATCCTGTTCTGAACACCCTTCAGTTGTTCCTCCTTCATGGTGTCCCATTAACTCTTAGGCTTCCTTTGGATTTTTTTCATACTTTTTTCTGATTGTTCTTCTAGCATCGAGGGCATTTCCAACTTACTAATCCGACTTCCATTGCTTTGAATCTTCTTTGCCCTTTCAATATGTTGTCCATTTCTGAACTGTTAGTATTAATCTTCTGGATTTCTAATTGCAGGTTTTATATTGTTTAAAATTTTATATTTGTCTGCTTGTTCCTGTAATGTTCTTGAATTCTTCTAAAGTTTTTTCTGTGTTTTCCACGATCTGTCAGTCCTTTGAAGGTCCCTAAGTGACATTCTTCTGAATTCGTTTTTTCTTCCTCAGAAACATCTTCTAGCTCTGCATTTGGGATATTTGTGTTTGAGCTGTTCTCTTGTTTCTTCATGTGAGCTAAAATGGTCGTTTGTCTCTGGGGCATTGTGGAATTGTTGTATTTGTATTTAATTGATGATTGTATGTTGGTGTGTTCTTAGGCTTTCATCAGCTGTCTCCTGTGGGTGTAGTTAGAGGATGATATCATAACTATAAAGACAAAAGAAGGGCAGGGGACTAGAGTGACAGAAGAGGAAAATGAGAATAAAAGGAAGAAATTTTTTAAAAACCCCAGAAAAACCAGGGAGAAGGAAGATTAAGAGAATAGTAAACATCAAAAGGGGATAAAAAGTAGGAGTTGGGAAATGAGAAACAAAAGAAGGGAAGGCAACAGTGACGACAGAAAGGATCAGATTCAGGGGAATGGAAAGGAGGAGGAGAAAGAAGAAACAAAACCAGTGAAACAAGAAAAGGATAAACCCCAAAACCCAGACCAAACACCACAGTGCAGCTGCTGGACCTGGAGAGGAGAAAGGTCTGGGGAGCTCCTGCCAGCCAAGCAGCTCAGGAGGCGGGGGTGTGGAGGGGGGGATGTGGCAGCAGCGTTCCTGGACCTACACGGAGTACCTACCTGCCTTCCATGCTCTCCATGTTCAGGGTACTCAATGCATAAGTAGTTCGTGGAGGCCCTCGATGGAGCTGGCCCCTGACGTGGTCTGTTAGGATCACAGGGCAGCTGGGGGCAGGGTGACTGGTGAAATCTGTCCTGGGGGCCCTGTAGGTTCTGTAGGTCTGGAGCTGACCCCACCTGATTCCAGACACCAAAGCAGCGCACCAAAGTGGTGCCGCCGACCGCTGCTCACACTGGTATGGTTTCGGGTCCTGTGGCCAAGAACTCCTGGAGAACAAGTGTGAGGAAAGACATGTTCCAGCTTTCCTGGCACCTGTGTGACTTGGCTCTGTCCGGCCTCCTTCTGTAGCCAAAGGTGCTCACAAGATGGAAGCGCCATGTCTGGCTGGCTGCCCCCCATCTGCCCTGTGTCCCTCTCTTGTTGTCCCTGATCAGCTTCTCCTCCCAGAAAACACTTGGCCCACTTCTCTAACTTGCCTCTGTGTAGTTCAGGCTTCCGGGATTTTCATTTGGTCTTTCGTATCTTTGTTGTTGAGGGTCCCTGTAGTACGTTTGCCTAGTCCGCCATCTCACCATAAGTCTGTTGTGTACATTGTTAACTGGAAAGAAAATGAGTGCCCTTTAAAAATGTTTTTAAGATTTGGAAACAAGAAGTCAGGACTTTAAGGTGGATGCCTAATGATGTCCGGAAAATTATTTAATACTTTTGACTTTGCAAATTTGTTTAGTGAAGGAGCAGGAAAATCGTGGTGGAGGCGGTGGCTCTAGTGAAGCGCTCAGGTGCTTGTTGCTTTAACTCCCTTTTTAAAAGCACTGTCATCAGCAGCACTTGTAGTCTTTGAACTTCCAGAAAGTCAACAGGCAAAATGCCTTGAGCATCGAAAACAGCCTTGCCATTACCTTTGCTCTTGACCAGTCTGCTTTTACTTTGACTGGCCCACTTCCTCCTCTTGGTAGCCAGTGCTTTGACTGTGCTTTGTAAAGCCATGTTTCATCTCTTGTTATACTCCTTCCATGAATTCTTCAGGATCTTGTTTAAAATTTCCATTGAAAGTTCTGCTCCAGTCTGCAGTGATCTGGGCACAACAGTCTTAGTGCCCACTGAGTGGGCAGTTTCCTCAGCTCTGTAGCACATCAGTCAGAATTGTGGCAGCTGAACCAACTGAGATGCTTAGGGTGCTAATGTACCTGCTGCTGCCCAATGGGCCTTTTCAGTCAGGGTGCAAACAAGATCTTCAGAGATTCATGTAGACGGTTTTTGTTTTTCTTTTAATGTTTTATTGTGAGAATTATGTGATAGTTTACATGGGAGAACATTAGTTTTACATTCATTCTATCGTATATTGTCTCTCATTGCCATGGTTACAATCCCCTCCATGCGATGTAGACAGTTTCTTGTGGTGGACTTCATTCTCAACATCCTCTCATCCCATCTTAAACTGAGCTGTTTGTAAACAAACTACTGATATCTTTGGGGCACTGTCCCCATAGAGTTTTCACAAAGTTGCAGTGATTTCATGATTCTTCACTGTGAAATTTCACCAAAAGTTTGATGTTTGCTCTTGATTCAATGTTAGCAGAATTCGTGTTGATCTGATAGTCTTACTGCTTCTAACTAGATCCTGTTCACACTATGTGAAATCACTACAAGTTTCTTTTGGTGCAAAAAAAAGTTGACATCTACATGCAGTTTTTTCATAAAATACAGTTTTCCATGAACTTTTTGAAGACCCTTCGTACTTCTCACCTGCTGGACATTTTCCTTTGTACTGGTTATTATATTCAACCTGGACGTAGCCTGTATCAAAAAATCGACCCAAGTTACTCGAGTTTTTCATAGTAAATTATAAAATCTTGATGCCTTTTTGTATGAGTCTAGTTGGGATTCCCTTTCCCATGCACTCCCGATGTAAGATGTGTGACTGTCTTGTGTTACACTCTTTGTAGTCCTACCAAGAACACTGGTCCAGATGTTGAGTTCGGAAGGAAGTCTCCACTTTGCCTTCCTCCTCGGGTTAAGATGTGATCGGGGTGGTGAGATGCACCGAGCTCTGGTGCCTTCACCAAAGACCCTGTGGTCTCCCTGATGCCTCATGGCCACTAGCTGATGCAGGGCATCTCGCCATCCACGAAGACTCACTCACCTGAAGAGCCCTAAGCAGGAAGTCTTCACAGTCCCTGCTATTCTGACTCCGGCAGTGTGTCAATTCCTTCTTCCCCCTGGTTTCTTTCTACAGAAGGCGCCTCCAGCTGAACGCCAACCAGGCCTTCTTCCTGCTGGTGAATGGACACAGCATGGTGAGCGTCTCCACACCCATCTCTGAGGTCTACGAAAGCGAGAAGGACGAAGATGGGTTCCTGTATATGGTCTATGCCTCTCAGGAGACATTTGGAGTGAAACTGACCGTGTAAGACTAGCAAAACGCACCTAACTCGAGAATTTGTACACCCTTACCAAGGGGGGGGAGGGACTTTATCATCCAAGATCGATGCGTTCATCTAATCACAGGGCGGCAGTGCGGTAGTGCTCCCAGCTGGGAGCTGTAGCCGCAAAACTGAGCTCCAAATGGACACCTGCAGCTTTGGAAACCTCTTTATTTAACCTAGGCTACCTTGTTTTCAAATTCTAGAAGTTGAAAAATAAAACACTTTGCATTTTCGGTTGCCAATGAAACAGACCTTGGAGTTGTTGTAATGCTCTTTTCCGCCAGTAGGAACTTGGGATCTGTGCAGTAGCTTACTCCTCCTGAGAGACGCGGTGTCGTCTTAGCTTCAGGTAGGAGGCTCTTTACCATCACCAGCTGTCAAACACAGTGCCCCAAACTCATTTGCTAGGGGAGTTGTACAAAGCAAGGCTAAGTGGGGTCTACGCAAACACTCCGCAGGCTCTGAGCTGCTGACCAAGTTTCCTGATTCCTCACAGGGAGAAGGCGGACGGTTGCCTCTTGCATTGTTAGGAAGTTTCATAAACACCCAGCTGTTTCTCATTTGCTTTGTTCACTAGACACAGCTTGACCAATTTAGAGTTTTGATCTCGCCCAAGGGAAGAAACGTATGGCATTGGTTTGTGGTAGGGATTTCCATTTGAGAACACAAACCAGTGCCTGGCTTGGTCAGTCACCAAGCAGTTGCGTCACTTCTCTTCTCTAGGACAGACTACTAAAATGTGAAAGCATGAGGTCTACATGCTACTCCAGGCTAGCTCCATGGTATCTTACATGTGACTAAAGCATGTCACTAAAACTGCTCTTGTCTTGAAGAGTTCCTCCGTGCTCACTGTAAGGTGAAACTGCCCACACCCACCAAGTGCATGTCTGTCCTGAAGAAAACAGCAAAAGGAGACACAGGCGTTTTATAGACGCTCACTTCGAGAGACAAGTGTCTTTGAAGTTCAGCCTTGAACAAATGGCTCGATGTTTCCTGCGCTTTCATGGGCGTATTCTCCTTGTGGGAGCACGCCTGCAAGGTCAGTCCCCTTTAGACTGTGTGGCCAGCAGTTCATCCTCGTAGTTAGGTGTGTGTGAAAAGAAATCCCCGTCTCTGTTAGTCACGGGCCCTCTACTGGAGGGAGAAATGCCAGTTCTGCTCTGGGCACTCTCCCTGCAGTGAGCGGAGCCCCCCTCCCTGTGTCTGCTTCCCCCGCATGCACCTGTCCACTGGACTCACTTCTAACATGTATCACTTTTGCCACATTATGTAAATTTGTAACCAGCCTGTCTTGTTTAGATTGTATGTCGTTATATCGGACATTCTTGTTAACTACTGTGTGATTGATAAAGATAACTCTTTAAGAAGCGGCTGTTGTTTGGGGGAGGGGGGGACGGACGGTACCACCCTGCAGAGAAGAGTGCTTTCACTCACATTTGCGGGCAGTCAGTTTGTTTCTGGGATCTCTGGGGAATTTTTAAACACACCCAGGTGAATAAAGGCACAATGAAAACCTGTCTTGATGGAATGGGGTCAGTGTGTAAGGCTTTTGTGTTGGGTGGGCTCGTTTTCACGAGGCGGAGGCCTGCCACCAGGTCTCCCCCAAGAACTCTGCCGATGTGCTATGGAGCATCCAGAGGGTGGAACGTGAGACCTGGGGGCTCTTGGGAAGTAACCAACAGGTACCTGAGGACGTGTGCGTACGGGTGGGGACAGTCTGGCAGCAGTCGGCCTGGTACTGTAGCTGCAGGTTCAGTGCTGGGTTGAGGGTGCCGCCGTTCTCGCCAGCCGGCTACTCGTGACCCGAGGCCCAAGTTGTTGTCCAGGTGGCCTCACTGGTCAGACTGGAGTGTGCTTGCTCACTCCCATGTGCACTCATCCTAAACACAGGCTTGATTGAGATGAGACCAACAGGTCCCCCAGTTGGGTGAAAAATACTAGAATGTTACCTCTGGTGCATGGCATTCAGCTTGTCTCAC